TCTACCAAAAATACAAAAAATTAGCTGGGCATGGTGGTGCGTGCCTGTAATCCCAGCTACTCAGGAGGCTGAGGCAGGAGAATTGCCTGAACCCAGGAGGCAGAGGTTGCGGTGAGCCGAGATCGCGCCATTGCACTCCAGCCTGGGTAACATGAGTGAAACTCCATCTCAGAAAAAAAAAAAAAAAAAAAAAAAAAATTTATTAAAAACTAAGTTTTGCCTTGTTGCCCAGCCTGGTCTTGAATGCCGGGCCTCAAGTGATCCTCCTGCCTCAGCCTCCCAAAGTGGTGGGATTACAGATGGGAGTCACAGCATGGGGTGAGATAATTTATTCTTGAAAATCGATTCATTTCAATGGGAGATAGACTGACCTGTGGGGCAGCCTTTGCTGTGCAGTGCTCTGACTCTGCCTCCAGGCAGGATTGTTCACATGCACTTCAGCCTAGGCCAAGCCTCTCATATGATTTCTTTCTTTTTTTTTTTTTGAGATGGAGTGGCTCTGTCGCCCAGGCTAGGGTGCAGTGGAAGGTTGCTCACTGCAACCTGCACCTCCTGGATTCAAGGGATCCTTCAGCTGGTATTATAGGCAGGTACCACCACCTGGCTAATTTTTGTATTTTCAGTAGAGATGGGGTTTCACCATGTTGGCCAGGCTGGTTCAAACTCCTCATCTCAAGTGATCCGCCTGCCTCAGCCTCCCAAAGTGCTGGGCTTACAGGCATGAAACACCATGTCTGGCCAATTTCTTTTTTTTGCTGTTTTTTGAAACAGAATTTCACTCTTGTTGCCCAGGCTGGAGTACGATGGTGCAATCTCAGCTCACTGCAACCTCTGCCTCAACCTCTGGAGTAGCTGGGATTACAGGCATGCTACCGCACCCGGCTAATTTTTCTGTATTTTTAGTAGAGACAGGGTTTCTCCATGTTGGTCAGGCTGGTCTCGAACTCCTGACCTCGGGTAATCCACTTGCCTCGGCCGCCCAAAAAGCTGGGATTATAGTCATCAGCCACCATGCCCGACCATGGCTGATTGCTTAATACTTTTGCTTTATAGACCTTATCATTGCAGTCATTATGTAGTTAGTTTTTAATATCTGTATCTCCACCCAGCTGAGGCATCCTGAGGTCATGCATTGTGTAGGTTGTATTAACTGTTCCATTCCGTTATTTGTTCAGGGCCTGCTATGTAAAGGAGTTCAGCAATTTTTGTTAAGTGAGTAGATTGTCAAGTCTTGCTTCACCCATGATCCCTTGTAAATGTGACTTTGTTTCTGATCCTGCAGCCTGACAAGTGGCTTCCTCATTGCCAAGTTAGTTGATCCTTCCTCTCTAACCACTGTGGCTTTGGTACTTCTGCCATTCCTTCCTCCTCAAAACTCTCTCTCTGGACTTTAGTGACATCTCTTAATCTTGTTTCTTCTGTGTTGCTTTCTTTCTGCTCCAAATGTGTGCTTTCCAAGGTTTTGTTCTCAGCACTTTTTAAAAGTGGCATCTGAAGTTGGTTGCCTGTTCCCCAGAGCTGGATTACATGCTGAGGCTTGTGGAGAGTCAAGCTAGGGAGTAGCATGTGTTCATCATCCATGTTCTAAGTCCATGGCAAGGACTTAGGAAGCACCTGGGGTGGCTACCGACTTCAGACTCTCCCATCCAGGCCCTTATACATTAGTACTCACGCTCAAAATACCAGGCCCTCAAGAAGTACTTGTTAAAATGCACTGGACCATAAAGCTTGATTTATGTTTATTTTATTTTCATTGTTTTTTGAGACACTCTCCCTGTATCACTCAAGATGGAGTATGGTGGGGCAGTCTTGGTTCTCTACAACCTCTCCCTCCTGGGTTCAAGTGATTCTCATGCCTTGGCCTCCTGAGTAGCTGGGACTACAGGCACGTGCCACTGCACCCGACTAATGTTTTTATTTTTAGTAGAGATGGGGTTTCGCCACATTGGCCAGGCTGGTATGGAACTCCTGGCCTGAAGTGATCCGTCCACCTTGGCCTCTCAGAGTGTTGGAATTATAGGTATGAGTCACTGGCTCTTGATTTTCATTTTAATGAAGCAATTTGGACTACAAATTTTTTTTTTTTTTTTTTTTTTTTTTTTAATACGGGGTTTCACTATGTTGGTCAGGCTGGTCTTGAACTCCCGACCTCAGGTGATATGCCCGCCTTGGCCTCCAAAGTGCTTGGATTACAAGTGTGAGCCACCACGCCTGGCCTAGAAATCATTTTAAGTTATATAATTGGTTTAAACATTATTTAGGAGATAGAATTGGTAGAGTAGGTGATCAGTGGCTTGTAGGATGACAGAAATCAAGAATTTATCTAGTGTGTGTTGACTGTTAAGGGGCACCTTGTTGGGGCACTGGGGTACCGTAGTGGACAGGCAGTTGTGGCCCTGTTGTCTAGAGCTAGTAAATGACACCCAGGTTCCTCGACTTTGTGACTGTGTGACTCATTCATTGAGGCAGAAACCCTGGAGGGAAGAGCAGAGGTGTGGGGTGGGGTGGGTGGGATGAGTCTCGGACAGTGTATTCCCGTTGGAGTTTGACATGACATCAGAGAGGTTGGATGGGCAGGGCTACTCGGGAGGGTGGTCTCTGTGGCAGAAGACAGGAGTTTCATCTTAAGCCCCTCCATGTGATGCTCTTGTGGAGCACAGATGAGGTTCATAGGAGGTGTGCTTTTTTTTCCCCATCATTCCAACCACCACCAAGTGAGACAGAGCTTATTTACCTGTTTTACTGATGAGGCAACTGATGGTCAGAACTGAGGGCTCGAGGATAGGAAGCGAGATCCAGGCCAGGCTCTGGCCTTGAGGTTCATGCCGTCTCTGTTGTACCCTTTTGTCAAATGCTTTTTTTTTTTTTTTTTTGAGACAGAGTTTTGTCCTGTGGCCCAGAATGGAGTGCAATGGCAAGATCTCAGGTCATTGCAACTTCCACCTCCCAGATTCAAGTGATTCTCCTGCCTCTGCCTCCTGAGGAGCTGGTGATTACAGGCAACTATCACCACGCCCGGCTGATTTTTGTATTTTTAGTAGAAATGGGGTTTCACCATGTTGGCTAGGCTGGTCTCGAACTCCTGACCTCGGGTGATCCATCTGTGGCAGCCTCCCAAAGTGCTGGGATTACAGGCGTTAGCCACCGTGCCTGGCCCCTGTCAGCTGCTTTCATGCTTCTCTTTTTCTTGCATCACCTGGGACTTGTGCTTTGTGCAGGGGACATGAGTAGGCTTTGTCAGATTCAATTCATGAGGCATTAAAAGTGTTTACAGTTAATTCTCCATGATGATAGCCCCTTCCAAAATCTATTTTGGCTCTTGTCTCATTAAAAAATTATTGTAATGCTGGGCGCGGTGGCTCAAGCCTGTAATCCCAGCACTTTGGGAGGCCGAGGCGGGTGGATCACAAGGTCAAGAGATCGAGACCATCCTGGTCAACATGGTGAAACCCCGTCTCTACTAAAACTACAAAAAATTAGCTGGGCATGGTGGCGCGTGCCTGTAATCCCAGCTACTCAGGAGGCTGAGGCAGGAGAATTGCCTGAACCCAGGAGGCGGAGGTTGCGGTGAGCCGAGATCGCGCCATTGCACTCCAGCCTGGGTAACAAGAGCGAAACTCCGTCTCAAAAAAAAAAAAAAAAAAAAAAAAATTATTATAGACATTAGTAGTACATTACTGAGGCTTAAAAAAACAGTTAACAGAAGACCCCTCCCAAACCCTATTCTCTTCTAAAATCCCACTGTCCTAAAACAACTGTTATTTAAGAGATTATTTGGTGACAAGGAGCTAACTTCATTAAGGGGATTTACCATAGTGATATGGGGATTCTAAGTCATGGATCTCAATTTTGGCTGCTCAAGCCAAGCTCACGGTAGCTGGAAGATCACCAGAGAGCCTTGCTCTCTTGCTTTGGCTTTCCCTCCCTCTCCCTGAAACCTAGAAGTGTTTGAAGTACCAGCATTCGGTTTTTGGTTTTCAAATAATTTTTCTAATTTGGTGGTTAATAGTTTAATTGTTAACTTATCTCTCTCTAATTGCTAATACAGATGAAAAGATTTCCATGTTTGATTTCTGTTTTGAATTGTGTGTTTATATTTTTACCTGATTTCTTTTTTGGTGTGTATAGTTTTTTGTTTTTGTTTTGAGACAGAGTTTCACTCTGTTGCCCATACTGGAGTGCAGTGGCACAATCTTGGCTCACTGCAGCCTTGATCTTCCAGGCACAAGTGATCTTCCCAACTCAGCCCCTCAAGTAGCTGGGACTACAAGTGCATACCTCCATGCCTGGCTAATTTTTTTTTTTTTTTTTTTGGAGACGAGAGTCTTGCTGTGTCACCCAGGCTGGAGTATATGGTGTGATCTTGGCTCACTTCACCCCTGCCTTCCAGGTTCAAGTGTTTCTCATTCCTCAGCCTCCTGGGTAGCTGGGATTACAGGTGTGTACCACCACACCTGTCTAATTTTTGTATTTTTGGTAGAGATGGGGTTTTGCCATGATGGCCAGGCTGGTCTTGGACTCCTGGCCTCAAGTGATCCTCCCGCCTTGACCTCCTAAAGTGCTGGGATTATAGGCATGAGCCACCATGTCTAGCTGATTTTTGTATTTTTTGTAGAAATGGGATTTTGTCACGTTGCCCAGGCTGATCTCGAACTCCCGAGCTCAAGCAATCCATTGGGTATTTATAGTTTTCTTACCATTTTTTCCAGGTCTTCCTCCCAATATTAAACATATGGAAAAGTTGAAAGAGTGGTACAGTAAACACTCTTATTCCCTTACCCTAGATTTAGCAGCGTTTTGGCATACATTTACGTATGGATTTTTTTTTCCCTGAACCATTGGCGAGTCAGTCACAGACATCCTGACACTTCTGAATACCTCAGCGTGTGTATGTGCCTTTAGTGTGATGGCCTTTTAACAACTTACCTTTCCCATATTTGCTGTAAGTATTTTTCCTAGTCTGTTGCTTATGTCTAACTCTGTTTTCTTATGTTTTTCAGAGGGTGACATGCCATGCCGTGCCAACATCCTGGTCACAGAGTTATTTGACACAGAGCTGATTGGGGAGGGAGCGCTGCCTTCCTATGAGCACGCACACAGGCATCTCGTGGAGGTAATGCACGGAGGGCTCCCTTGGGCACGTCTGTGCTCTCAGCCAGCTCACACAGCACTCACTCATGCACCATACTCCACACAGCCCAAGCCCTCAGCACCTGTCGTGTACCTGGCACACCCCTCCATTCTTGGGGGGCTCTGGTTCTCCTCAGTTGTGACTTTTGTGTCCCTTAAATGCCAAGTCTTAATAGGTTAGAGTTGAAAAGCAAGAAACTGTTTTCAAGTTCAGTTCAGCAATATTCTCAGGAATGTGATGCTTGAGCTGTCAGTCTTGAAAAGTGATCAGGTGTTGGCCTGGCAGATGGAATATTTCTGGTAGAGGAGAGCAGCATGTGCTAGACATGAAACTGAATTGGTGCAGTGGCTCTGGAATCTGCGGGTGCTTTCGATTTTGTGCTGTGTGGGAGGCAGGAGGGTGGGCTTAGCCACTAAGGCTAGAGAGCTGGGCAGGGACTAGATGGAGGGGGGTCTGGGGGCTATGCCCAGTGGGTAGCTGTCATTTAGGTGGGGTGGCATCACAACAGGGTTTGAAGCAGAGGATTGATGGCAGATTTATGCAGGCAGGCATGTGGAGGGCATTTGGGATGTAGGACTGGAGGTTGTGGGTGGGTTAAAAGGTTGTGGAGTTGTCCAGATGCTGAGGTACAGTGGACTTCAGCCAAGGCTTTAGACGTGGGCCTGAGAGGTGGTCCCAGGAGTTGGTGATCCCTTAGGTGTAGAGGTATCGAGGATGATGCCAGGGTTTGGGCACCCGGATTGGATCGTGGTGCTTCCTGCGGACTGGAAGCACAGGATGAGGGGCATCCCTGGGAAGGTTGGTGAGGGTGATTCATCTGATTTAGACACTGAGTTTGAGCTCTCTGAACATCAGCCAAGTAGAGAGGCCCAAGAGGCCCAGAGGTGCTTGGGTTTAGTCAATGAAGAGGGCATGGTTGAGGTCACTCTGGAGAATGTGGAGGGAGAAGAAAGGTGGTTCAGACCAGGGTGCCCCCTTGTGTGGCGGGGCATAGGAAGCATAGCCTGGTCAAGGAGGCAGGAGCAAGTCCAGTTAGAGTGGTGCTTCTCTACCAGAGCAAGGTTGGGAGACACTTCGTGGGGAGGCCAGGGATGCTACTAACCTTTTACCATGCCTGGAGCAACCTCCACCACAGAGAATCATTTGGCCCAAGAGGCCAGTGGTGCCGAAAGCCATGTAGTTCACTGCTGGGTCCCCTAGTGCCTGACGCATGGAGGACATGTAGCAAATGCATGAGGTAGGAGGAAAACTGGACAAGGAGCCAGAGCTGTAGCTGTGGGGGCTGAGTGTGCAGCGGTGCTCAGTGGTGCCAGAGGGCTGGGCAGCTGAGGGGGCACCGTGGTCCATGGGGCCTTGCCACAAGAAGGCTCTCGTTCTGGTGCCAGGCAGGAGCGGCACTGAAGGGACACTGAGCCCAGAGCCAGGATCACCACCCAGCAGCAGGACTTAAAGCATTTAAGAGTGCCAGGTAGCCAGGATCTTAGCTGACATAAGTCATTCGGCACAGTGTGTATTCTTTTTGAAATCTCATACCTTTTTTTCCCCCTTTTCCAAGGGCATAGGACTGAAAACAGTTCACTCTTCTAATAGTAGAAGGTATTGGCCATTACTGAACCAACCTACTATTGAAAAATAAACATCTTTTGATTGCTGGGAATTACTGTGGGTCTAAGCACCTGATTTTTGTTTGGTTTTGTTTTTTAATATAAACTTAGGAAAACTGTGAGGCCGTGCCACACAGAGCTACCGTCTATGCACAGCTGGTGGAGTCCAGGAGGATGTGGTCATGGAACAAACTGTTTCCCATCCGTGTGCAGACCAGCCTCGGAGAGCAGGTCATCGTCCCTCCCGTGGACCTGGAGAGGTGCCCTGGAGCACCCTCTGTCTGTGATATTCAACTGAACCAGGTGTCACCAGCCGAATTCACAGTCCTCAGTGATGTGCTGCCCATTTTCAGGTACCAAGGAGCCCCCATAGTTGATGGTGCTTTGAGACATTTGATGGAAGTTGGGCCTTTGGAGGTTCTTTTTAAGTGGGAAGAAAACCTAGCTGCTGTCGCCTGCCTCAGAACGCAAGAGTCCTTTGCAGCCAAATGTCATTGCCAGCGAAGTCACTGTAAAAGCTTAAAAAATGGAGTGTGTGAGGTTAAACTCTGCTTACATTCTTGAATATTATTCCTCAGTGTGGACTTCAGCAAGCAAGTCAGTAGCTCAGCAGCCTGCCATAGCAGGCAGTTTGAACCTCTGGCATCTGGCCGAGCTCAGGTGGTTCTCTCGTGGTGGGACATTGAAATGGACCCTGAGGGGAAGATCAAGTGCACCATGGCCCCCTTTTGGGCACACTCAGACCCAGAGGAGATGCAGGTAAGAAGTAGGAGCTGAGCATGTGCTCTGTGAGTCAGGAAACTTGTCCACTGCTGTTCATGGGAAAATAGCAGTTGGACCTTAGACCCAGGAGAATTTAGAAACAGGAGGGCTGTGTCAGAATCAAAGGCAAAGAAGAGTTTTTTTTTTTTTTTTTTTTTTTTTTTTGAGACGGAGTTTCGCTCTTGTTACCCAGGCTGGAGTGCAATGGCGCGATCTTGGCTCACCGCAACCTCCGCCTCCTGGGTTCAGGCAATTCTCCTGCCTCAGCCTCCTGAGTAGCTGGGATTACAGGCACACACCACCATGCCCAGCTAATTTTCTGTATTTTTAGTAGAGACGGGGTTTCACCATGCTGACCAGGATGGTCTCGATCTCTTGACCTTGTGATCCACCCACCTCGGCCTCCCAAAGTGCTGGGATTACAGGCTTGAGCCACCGCGCCCGGCAAAGAAGAGTTTTTAAAAAGCAAGCAAAGGCTAGCTATAGTAAGGTAGCCCTCCCAGGGTGAGCTCATGGTCAGCACCTGTGGACACAGTGAACAACAGAGAAGCTTTGGCAAGTTAGCTTTCCTCTCCCCTTCATCATGATGCAGCCACCCTTAGATATCACCCCTCATCCCCTGAGTTATCCCAGGGAGCTCCCATCAGCTTGGAATAGAGAATTACAGTCTCACCTTCTGTGGCCTCAAAATCTCCCTTCTGGAAGATTTTGCCCCGATAGAAAGTAGGCAGAGGACATGAAAGACAGAAAAGGAAATATAGATGACAGGGGATAGTTGCCCACTCTTCCTCACGAGAAGAGAAATGCAGTATTAGCTGTGCATAGCACCTGTAGTCCCATCCTCTCAGGAGGCTGAGGCAGGAAAATTGCTTGAACCCAGGAGGTCGAGGCTGCAGCGAGTCATGATTGCACCACTGCACTTCAGCCTGGGCAATAGGGTTAGACCCTGTCTCTAAAAAGAAAAAAGAGAGAGAAATGCAACTTTAAACTGCAAGGAGATAATCATTTTCGCCTATTACTGAATAAAGTTTAAACAGTTTGCAAGCACACTGTTGGTAAAGCTCAGGGAAAGAGCAGGAAAGTGAGTTGTCAGAATGTCTCAGGTAGAAAGCAATGCTGCTGCCAGACGTGGGGCTGAGGTTGGATTTGAGTCTGTGTAGAATGAATGTGTGCAGCCCTGATTTAGTAGAAAAAGGCCAACCTAAAGGCCACTAGTAGGGATTAAGTCCGTTATCCTTCTCAGTGGGTGAGGTAGCTGTTTGCACTGATATGGGACAAGCTTCAGGGTGGATTATTACCTGAAACAAAAATAAAGGTGCAGAGTGGTGTGTAGTGTGCCAGCATTGGTATTAGTAAAAATAGGAATAGCCGGGCACGGTGGCTCACGCCTGTAATCTCAGCACTTTAGGAGGCCGAGGAGGGCGGATCATGAGGTCAAGAGATTGAGACCATCCTGGCCAACATGGTGAAATCCCGTCTCTACCAAAAACACCAAAATTAGCTGGGTGTGGTGGCACATGCCTGTAGGTAGTCTCAGCTACTCGGGAGGCTGAGGCAGGAGAATGACTTGAACCCAGGAGTTACAGGTTGCAGTGAGCCAATATCACACCAGTACACTCCAGCCTGGGGACAGAGTGAGACTCCATCTGGAAAAAAAAAAAAAAAAAAAAAAAAAGGAATATATGTGTTTATGAGTGGATAGTCTTGTGTGGTATACGTGTAAGGATGTCTTTGGAAGAATTCCCAGAAATTGGTAAAACACTGCATCTGGGAATGGGGGCTAGGGGTTAGGGGTGGAAAGGAAACTTATTTCTCAGTACACTTTCTTGTATAACTTTTGAATTTTCTCTCATATGCTTTTGTTATTTACACTCCCATCCACCCTCCCTTACTCTCACACTCAAAGGAAAAGAAAATGGGAAAGGTGTTTCATAATTGCCTGATGGGTAATTGCCCACTGTCCAGACAAAACCAGTTCGCTGAGACCATGGCATTGCAAGAAAGACGGTTATTACTCAGATCAGTCTCTCTGAAAGTTCACAGGCTAGGGTTTTTGTTTGTTTTGTTTTGTGTTTTTGAGATGGAGTTTAGCTCTTGTTGCCCAGGCTGGAGAGCAATGGCATGATCTCAGCTCACCACAACTTCCACCTCCCAGATTCAAGCGATTCTCCTACCTCAGCCTCCTGAGTAGCCGGGATTACCGACATGTGTCACCACACCCGGCTGATTTTTGTAGTTTTAGTAGAGACGGGGTTTCTCCATGTTGGTCAGGCTGATCTTGAACTCCCGACCTCAGGTTACACTCATGCCTTGGCCTCCCAAAGTGCTGAGATTACAGGGATCAGCCACCACGCCTGGTCCAGGCTAGGGTTTTTCTAGGATAGTTTGGCAGGCCAAGGAGTCCACTTCTGGGTAGAGTCATCAGACAGAAATGTAGAAATGTAAAAATCCAAAAAGACACTTCAAAGTGTCAGTCTTAGGTTCTGTAACAGTCGTGTTATCTGCAGATAGAATCAGGGAAGGCTGCAAATCTTGTGACCTCCAGAATAATGGCTTCACCTTAGCAGAATTTAGCCTCCTCTCATCCTCCTAAACAGATGATCTTTCATTAAGTTTAATTTTGGCGAAGGGCAGTTTTCACTTAAACTATTAACTGGCTGGGCTCGGTGGTTCACGCTTATAATCCTAGAACTTTGGGAGGTCCAGGTGGGTGGATCATTTGAGATCAGGAGTTCAAGACCAGTCTGGCCAACATGGAGAAACCCTGCTTCTAAAAATACAAAAATTAGCCAGGTGTGGTGATACATGCCTGTAATCCCAGCTACTTGGAAGCTGAGGCAGGAGAATTGCTTGAACCCAGGAGGTGGAGGTTGCAGTGAGCTGAGATCATGCCACTGTACTCAAATCTGGGTGGCAGAGCAAGACTCCATCTCAAAAAATAAAATAAAATATTAACCAAATGTCTCTCAAAGTTAGCTTAGCCCAAACCCAGGAATGATCAAGGGCAGTTTGAGCTTATAAAGTAAGATGGGGGTTGATTAGATGAGATCTTTCACTGTCATAATTCTCTCACTGTTTTTTGCAAAGGCAGTTTTGGTTTCAGAGCCAAGAAATAGAACCTATCTCTACCCAGGAGCGCCTTAGGCATCATCCTTGTTCAGTGGTCCAGCCTGCCTGGCCTTAACTGCTGGCTTTGTTTTGATGCTCACCTGCTTCTAGGTGTCCACAACATTTACTTCCTGGAAGGCCTTAGCAGCTTTCCCTATCCCATTCCCAGAGTAACTGTTTAATCTGAAGGGTTGTGACTGCTGGGGGATTGTTGTCAGTCAGTATAACAACAGCAGCATGTGAAACTAAGAAGCACCTGAGCTTCTTAGTCTCCCCTCCACCTTCCAGGTACCTGGCCCCAGGTGGATGCGTGTCCAGCCAGTGTGTGCCAGCTTTCCTCTGCAGGCTGTGTGTGTGTCACTCTGAATTCACGCACAGAGTTGAGATTGGCACTGCGCTGCATTCTTCCTAAGACTGTGTTGCAGAATTAGCATAAGAATAGCATTAAAATGTTAGTACTTGCAGTGTGGTGGCTCACTCCTATAATCCCAGCATTTTGGGAGGCCAGGGTGGGTGGATCACTGGAGGTCAGGAGTTCGAGACCAGCCTAGCCAACATAGTGAAACCCTGTCTCTACTAAAAATACAAAATTTAGCCAGACATGCTGGTGGGTGCCTGTAATCCCAGCTACTTGGGAGGCTGAGGCAGGAGAACCACTTGTACCCGGGAGGGGAAGATTGCCATTGACCGTGTCATTGAGCGAAACTCCATCTCAAAAAAAAAAAAAAAGTACTTTTAATTTGCATATTTTCAGAGCACTACTATGTATATTTTTCTTCTTGAATTCTCTTACTAGACAAACTGGATAACCACAACCATAGCCAACCTGGGATTCAGCAGGCTTCAGGGATTGGAGCAGGGCCTGTGTCCAGGAGCAGTGGAGTGGGTCCTGCCCTAGGTCTCCTGACTGTAGGTCTTGTGTCCTTTCTCTACCAGCACTGACTTTTGGATTAGAAATTTGAAATCTGCTAATGAATCTCCCTCATGAATTTGTGAAACTGCTTTGATTCGAAATATGTTTAGCCTGCCCCATCGTGGCACAGTGGGTTCTGTCACCAGCTCTTCATCGTTACGACCCAGGAGGTCCTGTGGTGGGATCATGTAAAGGACACGATGATAGGGCAGTGCCGTGGGAGCCTAGGAGGGGTCGGGAAAGGCTTCTCTAGCTTCTCTGGTCTACTCCAGATACATTTGCACAGTGTGGGAATGAATAACAGATTTAAAAGAACCTGTTTTATCATTCCTGTTACTGTTTATTTTTTCTAGAACATATCTGGTCAGATTTTTATTTTCTTTTTCTTTTTTTTTTTTTTTTTGAGACGGAGTTTCGCTGTAGTTACCCAGACTAGAGTGCAATGGCATGATCTCGGCTCACCGCAACCTCTGCCTCCTGGGTTCAAGCAATTCTCCTGCCTCAGCCTCCCGAGTAGCTGGAACTACAGATGTGCACCACCATGCCCAGCTAATTTTTGTATTTTTAGTAGAGATGGGGTTTCACCTTGTTGACCAGGATGGTCTTGATCTCTTGACCTCGTGATCCACCCACCTCGGCCTCCCAAAGTGCTGGGATTATAGGTGTAAGCCACCGCGCCCAGCCCAGATTTTTATTTTCTAGTTTTTACTTCAAGTAGGCATCTTAAGTGTGTGGGAGTGTCATTCTCCTGCCTTTTTGTTGAATGCAAGACCAGGTGGGTGGGCACATTCTTCACCTGTGCTCTTGGAGTCCCACAGTGCCAAGTTTTTCTTAGTTCCCAAAGGTGACAATGAGCAGGCAGTCGTCTCATCAGAGTCGAGCCAGGCATCTCCTGTTTTTGTTTGTTAGAATCAGGTTCTTGCTCTATTGCTCAGTCTGGAGTGCAGTGGCACCTCTTAGCTCACTGCAGCTGTGAACTCCTGGGTACAGAGACCCTCCTGCCTCAGCCTCCTGAGTAGCTGGGACTACAGGCATGTGCCACCATGCCTGGCTAATTTTGTGTTTTTGTAGAGATGGGGGTCACTGCTGTGTTACTCAGGCTGGTCTCGTACTCCTGGCCTCAAGCGATTCACCAGCCTTGGCCTCCCAAGTGGTTGGGATTACAGGCATGAGCCACTGCATCCAGCTGGCATCTATTTTTTAGGACATTTCTTCCTTTTTCAAAAATAAGCTTAACAATCATGAGAGAAATAAACCTCATTATATAAAACAAAAAAATCACTCATGGTCCTCCCTCCCACCCAAAATAACTCCGTTTCTTTGGTCTTTTTCCAAACGCACGGGTGTTGTCAGTGCCCATCTCTGTTCGGGTCCCCGTAGCCTTCATCAGCAGTGTTTCAGATGTCTGCTCGTATTCTGCACGAGGGTTTATATCCTGCTCTGAGCGCTGGCCAGTTGGGTGGGTTCCAGTTTTTGCTGATATAAATAATTCTGTGATTTGCATCTTTATGTGAATATAACTCTTTTCTTTGGTTTTTTGTTTGGGTTTTCTTAGGATAGAGTCCTGTACGTGGGGTTTGTAGTAAGGACTAGCACAGCTTATTAAAAGTTGACTCTGGATCATTGTCAACCATGTTTCACAATTGAGAACATTTAGTTATTTAAATACTTCAATTTAATTCAAAGAGTAAGTTAAAACCTTTTTGTATTTTCCCAACTTTTTATTTTGAGAAATTATCAATCCATAGAATGAGTGAAAATGAACACTGATGGTCCCTTTATTTAAATTGACCACTGGTTAACATTTGCCACACCTGCTTTGTCTTTGTCTTCCTGCCTCTCTCCCTGCATCCCTGCATGTTGTCTCTACAAACACAGCCGCATGTGTGCGGTTTTTTGCTAAATCATTTAAAGTAAGTTGCAGAAATCTGACACTTTTCCTTTTTTTTTTTTTGAGGCAAAATTTTGCTCTTGTTGTCCAGGCTGGAGTGCAGTGGGGCGATCTCGGTTCACCACAACCTCTACCTCCCAGGTTCAAGCGATTCTCTTGTCTCAACCTCCCAAGTAGCTGGGATTACAGACATGTGCCACCATGCCTGGCTAATTTTTGTATTTTTAGTAGAGACAGGGTTTCTCCATGTTGGTGAGGCTGGTCTTGAACTCCCGACCTCAGGTGATCCGCCTGCCTCAGCCTCCCAATGTGCTGGATTACAGGTGTGAGCCAACACACCTGGCCTGACACTTTACTTTTAAATACCTCAACACTTATCTCCCAAGAATGAAAACAGTCTGCAACATAAACGAAACACATGATCACACCTAAGAAAAACAGAGGTTCCATACTATCATCTAACATGTGGTTCAAAATAAAATTCCTTTGTCTCCAAAAGTCCTTGATAGCATTTGTTTCCTCAATCTATGATCCATTTAGGTTTAGAGCATTGCATTTGACTATTTTGTAAATTCCAAGTGTGTTAAAGCCTTTGGAATGCGTGCCATGGGACTATTCTGAAAATGTTCCCTCCAAACCACTAGGTTTAAACCGTTGTATTTTGTCTTAAAATGAAACATTCAGCACAGCCCTATGTGTTGAAGACAGCTTTGGTGCTACTCTGATGGCGTGGGGACTGGAGCCTGCACTTGTCCCCTCCCCTGAGCCACTGTGGCAGATCGCTGCCCTTGGCCACATTGTGTCTTCCTAAAGCCAGCAGGGTTCCCACAGGCTTTTGGGCCACTGGCCTCTGATTTTAGAGTTTGTTTCTTTATCTCCTTGGCCACAATAGCAAGCTGCAGTCTACATTTTGGACTTCCTGAAAACTGGTAGTTCTGGCATTTGGCTCCTGGATTTGAAGCATTGCTCATACAGCAGCTTGTTGACAGCTGACTCTGTTCCCCATTTCAGTGGCGGGACCACTGGATGCAGTGTGTATACTTCCTGCCACAAGAGGAGCCTGTGGTGCAGGGCTCAGCGCTCTGCCTGGTAGCCCACCATGATGACTACTGCATATGGTACAGCCTGCAGAGGACCAGGTACGCTAGCCTTGTGGGGGTGGAGGATGAGCCTCTGAGACTGCGTGTATGTAAATTCCCCATTTACAGACCCTCTGGAGGCACCAGTGGGTTGATTTGTGTCTGGACAGAATAAGAGCAAAGATTGGTGACCAGAAGTGTCAGTGCCCATTTGTGTGTACTCAGGAGAGGTTGTTGAAATCTGTTTGGGGCAGATGCATATGAAAAGCCTGGAATTAGTGGGTGCTCTAACCTCTGATGCCTACTGGACACCAGTGTCCAGATTCATGCCCTCTAGAGGCCTGTGGAGGTGCTCACTGCCCACGTCTGTTTGTTCATCTCCTGACCTAGCCCTGAAAACAATGAGAGGGTCCGCGAGATGCGTCCCGTGTGCGACTGCCAGGCTCACCTGCTCTGGAACCGGCCGCGGTTTGGAGAGATCAATGATCAGGACAGAACTGATCGATATGTCCAGGCCCTGAGGACTGTAAGTGTCCAGCCCCTTGGCTGTTTATGGGGAAAAGGGGAAAAAGGAGTTTGCCCCAGGTGCTGCAGCACTCCGCTTACAATTTGCTAATTTTCTTTTCTGTGTCCTCTTGGCTATCAGTGGCTTCAGCGAGCGCCTTCTGGGTGGGCACTGGAGCAGAAAGCTGGAGAGCCTGGGGCTGAACTTCCTGAGGGCTTGCTCTCTCCTCTCCAGGGAGAGCCTCTAGCTGGGCTCCTGCTGGATGCCTTTGCCTTGTTAGACACAGTCACTTCTGTAGCTGGTCACAGTGGATTCAGCCACCCTTCTCCTCTTCCATGTGTTGCCGCCTTTCTAAAATTTTCTAAAATGTAAATCTGATCATGTCACTCTCCTGCCTGAAAACCTGTGCTCCTTGCTACCTATAGCAGGGCACTCAGCCTGGAGATTACAGATGGGGCTTGGAGGGTCTCTTGAGGCCCTTGTGCAGAAATAAGTGTGCATGTGTGCATTTTTGAGGGGGGCAGGGGAGGATCCAAGCCATCCTGAGTTTCTCTCAAAGGGGTCTGTCACCCAGAAAGGCATCCCTTGTGAACACAGCCTTGGAGACCCTCAGCTGTCTGTGCTGTCTCCAGACAGGGAAGAAGCCTGTTGTCAGGGACTGGGAGGTGGCCTCCTGCAGGTGGGACAGGCCTTCTGCAGGGCCTCTAGGCTGGGTTGAGGAGTGCCTTTTCTGACAGTGGGGACAGGTGGGGAGACATGAGCAAGGCAGGTGTGTTTGAGGCTGGGGGTGGTTACTGCACGGGGACGCAGGGGGATGGTCCAAGGTCTGGGCAAGTGGGATGAGAAGGGAAGCATTTCTGACAGCTTGCCAGCAGGAATCTTACGGCAGACTGGAGGAAGCCCTTTGCTGAGGTTGCCCATTCCCCACAGGTGCTGAAACCAGACAGCGTGTGCCTGTGTGTCAGTGATGGCAGCCTGATGTCCATGCTGGCCCATCACCTCGGGGCGGAGCAGGTACTGACGTGCACTCTTGTCAGCATCCTGAGGTGGGCTCGTGAGTTAGGGCGTTGTGTGGTCTGGGTGCACAATTCTGTGATCAAGGCTCTTTGTAAGGGCCACTGTTACGGCGTAGCATGCTCAGGTCAGGGACTGGGGGCTTTATTACCTGTGTGTGCAGGCAGCATCAGGCCAGAGTTCCTGTGGTGGAGCTGGGGCTCAGGCTGCCTCAGGGAGGGAATGAGCGATGGGGGTGGGGAATGAGCGCAGAAGGGGGATGAGCGCAGTGGGGGGAATGAGCGCAGGGAGGGAGTGAGCGCAGTAGGGGGAATGAGTGCGGGTCGGGGGGAATGAGCAAAGCGGGGAATGAGCACAGAAGGGGGATGAGCGCAGGGGAGGAATGAGCGCAGAGGGGGAATGAGGGGGTGTGGGGGGTGAATGAGTGCAGGGGGAGGGGAGGAATGAGCAAGGGGGGGAGGGGAGGAATGAGCAAGGGGGGGAGGGGAGGAATGATTGCGGGGCGGAGGGAATGAACGGGGAGGTGGGGAGGAGCGCAGCGCGGGAATAAGCGCAGGGGGGCATGAGCACCGGGTGGGCATGAGCGCAGTGGGGGGAATAAGCCCAGGGTTATGAGTGCTGGGGGGGTTGTTCAGGTGCTGCTTCTGCCTTGGGATGGTTTTATCAGATTTTAATCTTTAAATTTTTCTTTGTTAAATGAATATCTTACAACTAATAGCATGGTGTTCCCTTTAGGTATTTACAATTGAGAGCTCAGCAGCTTCTCACAAGCTGATGAGAAAAGTAAGTGAGAATTGTTGCTGAAATAGCAAGAGGACCTGTGGGGCTGGCCTTCTGAGTCTGGGTTGATGGCTTTGAAGTGGCGAACGGAGGAGTAGTGGCAGCATGGTGTGAAAGCCCCTGCCTCTGTGTCGTCTTGGCTGCTGCCTGGAGAGCAGCTGGAGGCCTGGCGGGGTGGCTGTCACTGAAATAGAGGCAAGTGTTTGCGGTGTCTCTCTGTTGCTGACTGGACTGCAGTGGCTCCATCTCCTCTCACTGTGACCTCCACCTCCCAGGTTCAAGGGATTCTCCTGTCTCAGCCTCCTGAGTGGCTGGGGTTACAGGAATGCGCCACCACGCCTGGTTAATTTTTACATGTTTAGTAGAGATGGGATTTCACCATGTTGGCCAGGCTGCTCTGAAACTCCTGACCTCAGTTGATCCATCCACCTTGGCCTCAAAGTTCTGGGATTATAGGCATGAGTCACTGCGCCCAGCCTTGCTTTGTTTTTTTGTGTCTGAAGAAGTTTACGCTTTTCTCCTCACTTCACATAGAGCTACGAAAACAGATTTCTGTCATGGTAGAACTGAATGTAGAATGTGTTTCTGGGACATCAGTGCTCAGGGAGTCAGTGCTCACAGCCTGATGGGAGATGGGATTTCTCTCCCTGGCCAGTAACTGGTTTGATTTCCTATCCAAAGGGGAACCCCTTTCACCAGAACCGTAGGCCCACACTGAGTCCTAGTGTGTGCCCACAGGAGAAATTTCTTATGCTTTTAACCCATTCTGCTCCTGATCTCATCCATGGTCTATACGATGCCTCTCAAGGAGAGAATTTCCACAAAGCAGTTAAAAGTGGTGCTCCAGAACGATTTGGCCAGAAAATTCAAAGCAGAGAGTGCAACTTTGAGAGATTTTTTTTTTCCTGACAAAAACAATAGTATGAATACAGTAATTCTATGGTTTTCTTTCTAAGATCTTCAAGGCTAACCACTTGGAAGATAAAATTAACATCATAGAGAAACGGCCAGAATTATTAACAAATGAGGACCTGAAGGGTAGAAAGGTGAGTAGCGGGAGCCTCCTGGCCATGTTGGGCTGTGTTAGGGTGGACAGCATATGTTGCAGTAGCCCAGTCCATGCCTTGTTCCTGGGGTCTCACTGTGGGCTTTCCTTGTAACTTATCTCCTAGAAGCTCCCACCATCAAGAGTGTGGTGAGGCTTTCATGGAGCTGCCCATTGAGCACATGGTTGCACTGCTCTTTTTTTTTTAAACAGTGTTTCACATTGTCGCCCATGCTAGAGTGCAGCGGTGTGATCTCAGCTAACTGCAGCCTCGAACTTCTAGCCTCAAGCGATCCTCCCACCTCTCCTGAGTAGTTGGAACTATAGGCATGTGCCATTACGCCCAGCTAATTTTTGTATTTTTTGGTCTTGAATTCCTGAGCTCAAGCGATCTGTCAGCCTCCGCCTCCCAAGTGCTGGAATTACAGGCATGAGCCACTGCACTCGACTGCGCTGCTCTTAGCTCAGCCTCATCTCTGCTCCTTCATGTCAGGACACAGCAGCTCTCTTGGGGTTCCTAGGAGCAGAGCGTGTCCTTTCCTCTTCACCACACTCCTGTCTTCACTTCCCGTCCACAGCTTCCTGCTGCACTTGGGCTTCCAGGCCCTGAAACTGCTTCTGCCAGCAACCTTTTACTCCCGTGGTCTCCCTGCAGGCTTCATCTGTTCCAGCCGCTTGTCCTTGTGACCCGGGACTTCAGCCTGTGCTGGGGAGGCTGCTTTCCCCTCCTTTTCCTGGCTGCTCCTTGTCAGTCTTGATCCTTTCCTTGCGCTGCTCTGTGTCCCTCTCCCCATGTCCCTCTCTTCCCCCGACTGCATCCTCTCTGGTAATCAGGTTCTTTCCCATGAGTGAGTCAGTGACCATCAGAGTCGGCTTTCACTCTTTACTATTTTGGATTCAAATCTTATGTCCAGCTACCAGCCTTTCCTTGACACAGGCCCTTCAAACTGGACTCACCCAAAGTGGAGCTGTCATCGTTCATCTTTCCTGCCAGTCCTTTTTTAAATAACAGCTTTATTGAGATATCATTGACATACCACAAAATTAATGCATTTCAAGTACGCAGTTCAGTGATTTTTTAAAGTAAATATATGGAGTTAACCATAACCAGTCTCATTTTAGAACATTTCCAGGCCAGGCATGGTGGCACATGCCTATAATCTCAGAGCTTTGGAAAGCCAAGGTGGGAGGATCGTTTGGGCCCAGGAGTTCAAAACCAATCTGGGCAACATAGGGAGACCCCGTCTCCGTAAAAATAAAACAATTAGCCGAGTGTGGTAGCATGTGCCTGTAGTCCCAGAAGGCTGGTGTGGGTGAGGTGGGAGGATCGCCTGAGCCCAGGAGTTAGAGGCTGCAGTGAGCTGTGCTTGTGCCAGAGCACTACAGCATGGCTGACAGTGAGAGCTTGTCTCTAAAAAAAAATTGAAAAGAAATGAAAAGAGAACATTTACCTCCCAAATTCCCAGGAGCCTGTTAATAGTCAGCACACCCATTCCCCAGGTCCGACAGCCACTGGTCTCGTTTCTGTCTCCAGCGTGTGTCTCCTCCTGGCGTTTCTCAAAAGTGAGGTAATACAGTGTGTGAGCTTGGGAGTTAGGCTCCTTTCACTGAGCATAGCGTCTTTGAGGTTAACCCATTTCACTCTTTTCAGTGCTGCATAGCATTCCATTCCCCCGCCTAGAGACATTTGGATTGGGTCCAGTTTTTTTGGCCATTTTGAATAAGGTTGCTGTGAACATGTGCGCGTCAGTCTTAGTGAGTATATATGTCCTCAGTTCTCTTACACATATGCCTTGGTGTGGATTGCTGGGTCATGTGGTAGTTACGGTCAACTTTTTAAGAAACTGCTGAACTGTTGTTCGAGGAGGCTGTGCATTTTATGTCTCTATCGGTAACGTCTGAGGGTCCAGGTTCTGGGATTCTCACCAGCACTTGGCCTCGGCTTTTTTTTTAGCATAACCATTTAGTGGGAGTGTAGTGATGTCTTAGCATAGTTTTAATTTGTATTTGCCTATTGACTGATGCCGGTGAACATCTTTTTGTGTGCTTATGTCTTGCTTGGTGAAATGTCTATTTAAGCCTTTTGCCCAGTTTAAAAGTAACAGTTTTATTGAGATATAATTCACATACCATAAGATTTGCTCAGTGATTTTTGTATATTCATAAGGTTCTGTAGCTGTCACCACATCAGTTTAAGAATCCTCTCATTACCCATCAGCAGCCACTCCCCATTTGTCCGCAGTCCCCCTGCTCTGGGCACCCGTTCTCCTTTCTGTCTCAAGGCTTGTCCACTCTGGGCATCTTGTGTGAATGAAATTAGACAGTGTGTGGTTTTTCATGGCCAGCCTCTTTCATGTGGCTTCATGTTTTCATGGTTCATCCATGTAGCCTAAATCAATACCTTATTTCTCTTTCTTACTGAATAAGATTCCATTGTGTGGACAGGCCATGTTATTTATCTGTTCATCAGCTGATGGACATTTGGGTGGTTCCTACTTTTGGGCTGTTGTGAGTAATGCTGCTATAAATGTTCAAGTTGCCCTTTCTCCCTCATAGATGAGGACATAGGATTCTGAAAGCCATTCTGTGGGGCACCGGTAGACTGGGGTCGCATTGAATTGGAGTGGTGGGAGCAGGCATTCTTGTCTGTCTTGTTCCTGATGCTGGGAGTGGAAGCACTCCTCCCTCCTTTTCTGTCTCCCAGCATTTCCCACTGCATCTCCATCATCTCTGACTGGCCCCCCTTTGGTGCCCGTCTGCTTGGGCCTGCCCAGGGTCGGCTGCCTCCACAGCCTTTGCCACTCCTTCCTCTCCTCTCATCCTGCAGTCTCTGTTTCTTGCCAGGACTGTTTCTGCAATCTCCTAGGTCACTGCCATTCCTAGCACCAGTAGGTTCCTATCCACTCTTCATAGTCCTAAGCAGGATCTTCTAAATCACATTCCTTCTGATTTTGAACCCCTGATGAAAGCTTGTAGTGACACCCCCACCCCTGCCACCACCTCCAGAATGAGTCCAGCCCCTTACCCAGACCTGGCTGCTCCTATCCAGCTCTTGCCTTGGGGGGCCTTGCTGTCTCCCAGACTTGCTCTTGCCCCTGCTGCCCCTCGCCTCGGCCATTCAGGCTCTTCATCGTGCATTTGTTCATTTACTCATAAATGTTCACGGAACATCTGGGCGTGGCACTGGCCCACTGCTTGAGATGCTGGGCCACCAGTCCCTGCTCTTGTGGTGCTCAGAGACAGAGACAAGCCCCAGTAAGTCCTGAGATAAAGCGTTGAGTGGGGGTTGACAGGATGCCACTCTGGAAGCCCCTCTGGCACTTTATTTCTGGAGTTCCTCTATGCCCCGCTTCCTTGCTGCTTTCTTTCACATGGGGTTGGCTCCACCTTGTCTGCTTCCATGTTCCAGTCTGCCCTCCTGAGCACCAGACTCATATCTGGTTGTAATCTTTACAGCCTCCAGGGCAGGTACCCTGCTTATTGACTGAGGGAGGGGGTAAGTGAATGAGTGAGTGACTGAATGAGTGAGTGAGTGAGTGAGTGAGTGAGTGAGTGAATGGGTGACTGAGTGGATGAATGAGTGACTGAGTGGATGAATGAGTGAGTGGGTGAGTGACCATGAGTGAGTGAGTGAATGAGTGACTGAGTGACTGAATGACTGAATGAGTGAGTGACTGAACGAGTGACTGAATGAGTGAGTGACTGAGTGAATGAGTGACTGAGTGACTAAGTGAGTGAATGAATCAGTGAGTGACTGAGTGAGTGAGTGAGTGAGTGGGTGAATGAGTGACAATGAGTGAATGAGTGAGTGGCTGAGGGAGTGAGGGAGTGAGTGGCTGAGGGAGGGAGGGAGGGAGTGAGTGAGTGACTGAGGGAGGGAGTGAGTGAGGAAGGGAGTGAGTGAGGGAGTGAGGGAGGGAGTGAGGGAGGAAGGGAGTGAGTGAGGGAGGGAGGGAGTGAGTGACTGAGGGAGGGAGGGAGGGAGTGAGTGACTGAGGGAGGGAGTGAGTGAGGGAGGGAGTGGCTGAGGGAGTGAGGGAGGGAGTGGCTGAGGGAGTGAGGGAATGAGTGAGGGAGTGGCTGAGGGAGGGAGTGAGTGAATGAGGGAGGGAGTGAGTGAGTGGCTGAGGGAGGGAGGGAGTGAGTGAGGGAGGGAGTGAGGGAGTGGCTGAGGGAGGGAGGGAGTGAGGGAGTGGCTGAGGGAGGGAGTGAGGAAGTGAGGGAGGGAGTGAGGGAGTGAGTGGCTGAGGGAGGGAGGGAGAGAAGGGAGGGAATTACTTGAGTGACTGAGTGGCCTGTTGCTTCTCTGTTCCTGTGAACTCTCCTGGGCTGAGCCCTCCTAATACCTGGGCCCTGCTTCTCACCCTGCTTACCAGGTCTCTCTCCTCCTGGGTGAGCCGTTCTTCACCACCAGCCTGCTGCCATGGCACAACCTCTACTTCTGGTATGTTCGGACCACTGTGGACCAGCACCTGGGGCCAGGTGCTGTGGTGATGCCCCAGGCAGCCTCGCTGCACGCTGTGGTTGTGGAGTTCAGGGTAGGTCACCCGGGGGTGTTGCAGAAAACAAAAGCAGAGGAAGCCGGAGGGGAACCTTGTTTTCTTGCAGGAACCCTGGGTGCCTGTAGGGCAACTCGGGCCTTGATTTGAGCTTGTTTTTTCTTTTCTGTGTCAGCACACTGTGGGGTTGAATAGAAGATGCTTGCCTTTTTCAAAATGCAATAATGTGACGTATGAAATGGAAATGGCTGAGTGTTGTCATTTTACAATTGTGGCTTATCAGAATAATTAAAAATTATAAATTAAGCGTTTCAGAAGCCATGCGGTGCGGTCTGCTCTGCTCTCATTAAGAGCCAAGGCTTCAGTTCAGAGCATTTTGAGATGGAAGAGTCAGATGCTTTATGCAAGAAAAAATGGAAAAGCTTCCTTTTAATTTTCTCATCAAAGAACCACAGTCACAAAGTCATTTTTGGAAGGATTTTTTTTTTTTTTTTTTTTTTTTAATGTAGAGACAGTGTCTCACTCTGTTGCTCCGGCTGGAGTGAAGTGGAGCGATCTCGGCTCACCCCAACCTCCATCTCTTGGGTTCTAGCAATTCTCCTGGCTCAGCCTCCTGAGTAGCTGGGACTACAGGTGCATGCCGCCATGCCTGGCTAATTTTTTGTATTTTAGTAGAGACGGGGTTTCACTATGTTGCCCAGGCTGGTATTGAACTCCTGACCTCAGGCAATCAACGCGTCTCAGCCTCCCAAGGTTTGGGATTATAGGCATGAGCCACCGCGCCCGTCCTGGGAAGGGCATTTTTATTAAAAGGATTTTGAAAAGCTTTAACCTGGGATGGAGAGTGAATCTCATTTGATGAGAGTGGTTTCTCTCTTAGTAGCTTAGTGGCTCCATCACTTAATTTCTGGACATTGCTCCTGTGTTACCTGTTTACCAGATTTCCACAGCCGAAGAGGGGATGTCATCATTCATGCATGTTATACCAGGAGGAAGGGAGGGAGGGCCGCGTGGCTGAGTGTCCTCTGGGTTCCTCTTGGCCAGGCCTTTTTCTTTCCCCAGCATCACCGTGAAATGGAGATGATCCTTGGGGGGAGAGCTGGCTTACATATTCCTTCCCAGAGAGATGGTGTTCAGCATGGCCTGGGCAGGAGTGTGCAGCCCCCAGCCTTGTAGCTCTGGCTGTCTCATCGGAGAGGACTCGGGTGTCACGCCAGAGCTTGCAGGTTCCTGCCCGACTGAGTCTGTTACAGAAACCATCCTGGATCTTTGGTCTCTCCGAGCCCCTTCATACTTGGGCAGGGAACAGCAAGCTGTGTCTCTTGTTCTTGCTGCCACACTTTCCTGTGTCCTGACAGGGCTGCTCCTTCCTCACAGGACTTGTGGCGGATCCGGAGCCCCTGTGGTGACTGCGAAGGCTTTGATGTGCACATCATGGACGACATGATTAAGGTAGGCAGGGACTGTGTAGTCCCACCCACCCTCTCCTGTGGTGCCGTCCTTTGCCAGGGACCTGGCTTGGGCAGCTCAGGCTATTCTGGTGTGGGCAGTGGGGTCAGGTGCTGCCATTTTGTGTGGTTCACCACGAGCATTGTTTGGTACCAGGCCTGTTCTTGGCTCTGTGCTGTCACCCTGAGTCAGAATCTCCACTAGGCCTGTACGTCCTGTCGTTGGAACTGCCCCTGCCAGTGACCCCAGCTTGTTTTCTCTTGGAGCAGCCTTTCCAGAGGCAGTCTGGAAACCTTCTTAGGCAGCCATTTTCACGGTGGAGGCTCCATTCCCAGGGAGGGGTATGTGAGAAGTGTCCCACATGTTATTTACATGGTAGGGATTGGCAGAGCCCTGAACAGTAGCAACCGGGCCTGCGTTCCCCAGAACCATGGACTGTCCTTGGATTCATGAGGGCTGAAGCTGAGAGTCCTGTTCCATCACCCGAGACGGACAGGCTGAGGAGCATGGGCACGTGGCTCCTGCTTGTCATCCCAGCACTCTGGGAGGCTGAGGCAGGTGGGTTGCTTGAGCCTGGAAGTTTGAGACCAGCCTGGGCAATGTAGCAAGACAAAAAATGACAAAAAATTAGCCAGGCATGGTAGTGCACACCTGTATTCCTAGCTACTCAGGAGGATGAGGTGGGAGGATGGCTTTAGCCTGGGAGGTGGAGGCTGCAGTGAGCTGCAATTCCACCACTGCCTCCAGGCTGGGTGACAGAGCGAGACGCTGTCTCAAAAAAAGAAAGAGAAATCTCACGGACACTGGAGGAGCGGGGAGCAGCAGCCCCGCCGCAATAGCTGCGCATCGGGAGGTGGGGCTTTTCTGCCTCTGCTCGCCTTTCTGTTCACATTTGCCTGTAGTGAACATGGATTGCCTATGTGAACATTTTTTTTTTGTTGAGACAGAGTCTCCCTCTGTCCCCCAGACTGGAGTGCAGTGGCACGATCTCAGCTCACTGCAACCTCTGCCTCCCGGGTTCAAGCAATTCTCTGCCTCAGCCTGCCGAGTAGCTGGGATTACAGGTGTATGCCACCATGTGCAGCTAATTTTTGTATTTTTAGTAGAGATGGGGTTTCACCATCTTGACCAAGCTGGTCTTCAACTCCTGACCTTGTGATCCACCCGCCTCGGCCTCCCAGAGTGCTGGGATTACGGGGCTGAGCTACCGCACCCGGCCCCGAACATTTTTTTAAGTAAATTAAACCTAGTGGATGTTTTCAGTTTGCATCTTACCTGCCACTCACAGCAGACCACTGACTGCTGCATGCTTCTAGAAATCTCGTTTGTGCCGAGCGCCACGTGCTCTGGATCTGTGTGCTCTACGCCTCCCTTGGGCCCCTGTTCTTGACTTGGCCCTGGCTGTCCCTGTCCCCTCTTGCTGATAGGGTTCTCCCACTCTGGTCCAGGGCCAGTGTCCGTCTCTTGTGTGCTCACACAGATGGCTGAGAGTAGTGGGTGTCCTTTGGGGGGTGCCAGGTATTTTTGCTTTTATGATTTCCAAATTCACCTGCCCTTCGCCACCCTCAACCTGGCCCTTCCAGTGCCCTGTCTTAGACCTGGTGCCGCTTCACACAACCAGCCAGGCCCAGGGCCCTGGGTGCATCATCCCTGGCGAATTCTCCTGTTCCCTGCCGTTGGTCTTCATGCTCCCAGCTGTTGGTCTTCATGCTCCCAGCAAGCCTCCGACCCAGGCTGCCCCTCACTGCTGCCGTCCTAGTCTGAGCCCACGTGAACTTGTAGATCTGAGTCTGGCCACGTCCCCACTGCGGGAATGCCCCAGATAGCTCCCCACACACCCCAGCAGAGTGACCTGGCTGGCCTGGGTGCCCTGGCCTGCTCTCCTGGCTTAGCTCTGTCCTTGAGGCCCCTCTGGCCCTGCTTCTGCCAGCTCCCATTTGCCCGCCCCCATTTGCCCGCCAGCTTCCTTCCTCCAGGCAGCTTTCTACGTCCCTCCTGGATGCAGGTGCTTCCAACCTGCCTGCCGCCAGGTACCAGGGCTGTTCTGTCACGTGTTTATCCCTCCCCGTGGCCTAGGGCCCACCTCTCAGGGCCACACAGCTGTGGTGGTCACCAAGTTTCTAGGTGCTGGGTGTTCTCACCACTGATGTAGACATGTGGTCCTCAGAACAGCTTGACAGGTGGCACCACCCCATCTTAAAAATCTGGAAAACAAGGCTCAGAGTGAGGGGTGCCTATGGAGCCACCGAGAGAGTAGTGGCAGAGACGGGGAGCCACCGGTTTGCTGGGTGCTCGGCATCTTTATGGGAGAACACACGCCCCTTGTGACCGCAGTCAGTGGGAGCCAAGCCGAGGAGGAGGTCTCTCTGGCCGGCTGCGTGTCTCTGCAGCCTCCAGGCCCACTTCTGTTCACAGCGTGCCCTGGACTTCAGGGAGAGCAGGGAGGCAGAGCCCCACCCGCTGTGGGAGTACCCGTGCCGCAGCCTCTCTGAACCCTGGCAGATCCTGGCCTTTGACTTCCAGCAGCTGGTGCCTCTGCAACGCCTGCGTGCTGAGGGCACTGTGGAGCTCCGGAGGTGGGTGCAGGGAAGGCCGGCGGGGCAGGGAGGGGCTGCTGCTTGGCCTCGGAATTCCCGTCCCCTTGGCGAGCAGCTGGCCTGGGAGATGCTGACACCCACGACCCTGCCCTTCTCTCTCAGAGCGCCCCTGTGCATGTGGTGGTCCCCACGGTCCTGTGTGTGCCAGTATGGGGGGAGCCAGGGAGGGCTCCACTCGCCCCCGTACAGCTGAGGCTCCCTTGTTGGATCACGACTCAGGAAGATGGGGGTTTGGTTCCTGTAGTCACTGATGTACCATTTTCTTTAACCCTCCTGGGAGCTGAAGCAGGTTGGGGTCAGCGAGTGCTGCTTGGGTCCAGGCATAGGTTGCCCTGCCCTGCTCTGGTGCCCAAACTCCCAGGGTGCTGTCCATGGTATCAGAGGGGCTTTCCAGCCTTCAGTGCCAGGCTGTGCCTCAAGCCCCCTGGACCCTGCAGCCATGCTGGCCTTGCCGCATGTGTGGCCTGGCTTCAGGGCTTGGGGCGGCTCAGGTCGGGGCTTGGCTGTGGCTGTACTGGCTGGGGTTTTTCTGAGGGGAGTTTAGTTAGGTGCAGTGTTAGGAGCTCCTGGCAGGGTGGGAAGGAAGTAGGAAAGACCACAGGTTTCTGGAAAGCACAGGAGCTGTGGCCATGCCCCCTGCTTCTTGTGTGACCGTTTCTTCTGGGCCCCCCTCTCTCTGGCAGGCCTGGGCAGAGCCATGCGGCAGTGCTGTGGATGGAGTACCACCTGACCCCGGAGTGCATGCTCAGCACTGGTCTCCTGGAGCCTGTGGACCCCGAGGTAGTGCCCACGTGCTGGGCCCAGAATGGGTGTGGACCCTGAGAGAGGCGTCCTCTGGGGAGGCTTTTCTGCCCCCGTGCTCTGAGTGTTTCTGTCACAAGTTCTTCTGGCTAGGTGATGACCCCCTAGTGGTCCTGAATCATTTGGCCTCTGTGCAGCTTCTCTTCGCTGCAAGCTGCCTGGGCTAGAGGCTGACCAGGAAGGAGGCTCAGGTGCCAGGGAGCCCTCACTGTCTTCCTGCTCTTCTTCCTACAGGGGGGCTGCTGCTGGAACCCCCACTGCAAGCAGGCCGTCTACTTCTTCAGCCCTGCCCCAGATCCCAGGGTACCGCTGGGCAGCCCACAGACGGTCAGCTATGTGGTGGAGTTTCACCCTGACACCGGCGACATCGCCATGGAATTCAGGCTCGAAGACACCCAACTGACTGCTCCTGGGCAATAAAGTGGCTCCGGGCTTTCTGAGGGGAAGGCTGAAGATGCTCCTTTCCTTCCGGGAGCTGCTCGGCCTCAGGGACGGGAGACGCCTTGCTGTGTTGCATGTTTGCACTGCTGGCCTCTGGCTCCAGCTGTGGCAGGGAGCATGAGCGGATGACTGAATTTGGAGCCCTGGAGGGGCTGAGGAGATCCCCCTGCTTGTGCTTCTGAGGTGCTGAGAAAGCTCGAAGGCAGAGACATCTTTCCCTAACTGGGGAGGGGGTAGAAACAGGGGAAGCTTGTGGGGCTGCGGGGTGAGGTTGTCCATGCCGCCCTCGGTGAGCAGTGCCCATGTGGGAGCCTGTCCTGCCTGTCCCACTCAGGGATCCCCTGGTCCCTGCTCTTCTGGCTTCTGCTAGGAGTGTGGAGACACTGAGTTGTGGCTGGGTCTCTGGGGCTTGAAGACCCAGGCTGAGAGGCCTGGGTTCTGGCCCTTTCACCGGCCAGGTAACTTCAAGCCACATCCATAGGTGTCTGGCCTCACTGCTGTACCAGCTGGTGGCTTGCCAGGACCTGAGACTGGACACCAGGCAGCTGTCCCAGAGCAGTTCCTGACGCAGGCCCAGGAAAGCAGCTGTCAGGAAGGGGACCCGGGAGGCAGCCCTGTCCCCTGTACCACCCTCGGATTGGAAAGCCCTTCCTGCAGATGGAGTATGGCTTGGAGCAGCCCCCGTCCAGCCCTGCTTTACCTGGGGGCCAGAGAGGCCTGAAGTGCCGTGGCCTGGCTTCTCCCACATGACGCCCTTTGGCTGTGTCTCAGCTCTCAGAGGTAACAGCAGACACCAAGTGAAAGAACTGAGTGGCCTCCAGCTCGCTGCTCAGGAGGTGAGGCTTGTTCCAGGCCAGGCGAGCTGCCTGTTTGAGCAGAGTCCCGGTGTCCTTGCATTCAGAGCAGACGTGGGTAGTGCCCATCCCGCAGTTGGAGGTAGGAAGTCCATCCCCTGCCCCCAGGTGTGCCCTTGAGGCCTGGCCCCAGCTAGTCATGAAATAAGTGGAGAACAGCCTCGAGCCTCACAGTTTTATTTTCTCCTCATTATCCATCCTTCCTTTCAGCACCAGTAAGGAAAAAGAACACCTCTCTTTTCAAAATGTTTTATCAGGTGTAAAGATTGCTTTTCTTCTAGGGAAGAACCGTCTGGATGTATATTTGATAATGTTTTTACCAAAACCATAGGTGTGCTTACCATAGAAAACCCCTAATGTCCCATGAAGATACAATACAGAAAAAAATACAGAAACTAAAAAAGTTTTTTTTATAACAGTATTTCTAAATCTCAGCAAGTTAAAAAGCAATAGTTAAAAAGCATCAAGATTAATATACTTAAGGTGGTTTTGGACAAATGAAAATGAACATTTCCTTCCTCAGCGGATCCCCCCGCCTCATGCTTCCTTGACTGGGGCCTAGGACAGGCACAGAGCCTTGGTGTGGGCTTTGGGTGACCTGTGTGCCCACCCTTGCTCGGCCTTAGATGTCACAGAATCTGAGATCCAGCAGTTTCACTTTTAAAAATCAATAGACAGGCCTGGCCTGTATGCAAGCCCTGGGAGCCCACAGGCAGCCACGATGAAATGTGTGGTTGGTGGTCCTGGCCTTGGCGCAGAGGGAGGTGTGTGGGGGCCTGGGGGCCGCACGTCCCTGCTCTGGTCGCCAGGACCTGGCTAGGCAGAGGCGACCTTGTGATGACAGAATGACTTGCCTAAGGCCACCTGTGAGGTGGGAAGGGAGGAGCGTGCAGCCCTGACTCCCACACCTGCTGCCCTCCGGAGGGGAGGTGCCTGGGTGGGAAAGCTATTCTGGGGTCTGGTGTGGGGGCCCTGCCTGGGCCTCAGCTGCTCTCCCTGTGCAGGCAGCTGGCATGCGGCTCAGGGGGTCTAGCGGTCCAGGGCCGGCCCAGTTGCTTGTGTGAGCAGAGTCCCAGCTGCTTCTGGTAGTGGACAGCGGGGTGGGGGTGGCTCCACAGCATGAAGGCCAGACCCTTGGAGGAGCAGGTTGGGCAGAGAACCGCGCAGGACGTTCGCCCTCAGCAGCCCCTTCCTGGCTGTGGACTGGAGGGGGTGGGGCTCGGGGCGGGGCACAGATGGTGCTTCCAGGCCAGGTGGGTTCAGACACGCCAGTGTCACCACGGACACACGTCCTAGGGCCAGGCTTCCTGGGCTCTGCAGCGTTGTCTGCCCCAGCACAGGGCCAGGCGTCTGGCTGGCTGCGTGGTCCTCTCTTGGTCCCTCTTGCAGCTTAATGGATGACAAGGCACAGCAACAGGGCACCAGCACCAGGAGGGGCTGACAGCAGACAGCAGGTCCTGGTGCTCCCTCCAGCCTCGCTAGGCAAAGCTGGCCCTGGGCCAGGCTGGGTGCAGGATCAGGGCACCACAAGGAGGGAAGGTCAGCGGGGATTGTCAAAAACAGTCCCTCAAGTTGAGTCTCAAACTTTGAAACAGACAAAGCCTTCGCTGCATGGCAGGAGCAGCCCTGGAGTCTGTTAAAGGCAGGTGGGCAGAGGCAGTGCCGGGGGCTGTAGGCCTCTTGGAACTGGAGGCAGATCAAGGACCACAGGCTGTTGGCCAGCTCTGCCATGCCGAACCTGGGTGCCAGTACCACGCCCTGCCCCGGTAAAGCGGCGACTGTTGGCCTTGCTGCCCCAGCCCGCACAGTGGTGAGGGGCCAGGTTCCTCTCTGCATCCTGGCTTCCTGCCTCAGGCTGGGTTCCCCTTGTGGCCTTGATGTTGGCTGGGGTAGCTGTTGAGGATGGGCCTGGAAGGCCAGAGGGGCAGGCAGGGGTTCCTGAGCTCAGCTGGCACGCGGGTGGGGCACGTCCCCAAGGAGGGATTGGTCCCGAACCAGAGAGGTGTCCGGAGGGGAGAGAGGATTGGCAGAAAGATGTGTTGGTTTTGATAGAAGAGAAGCTACAAATCAATTATTTTCAAAATCAGGAACCCCCCCCACCCGCTTTATGCATGAGTCCCTTCTTCCTGTAAAAAAGTGGATGCCCTCTTCTTGATTCCGTTTATGGCTCCACTGCCCAGATGGGAGGCTCCCAGAGGAGGCCCTGGGCATCGGAGCCCGCCCAACCCTGTTCTCCCTGGGCTGGGAAGGGACCCTTTCTCGGGAAAAGCATAGTTCGGTGAGTGGCTTACAGACCCTGTGAAGTGAGGGTTGATTTTGTGATAAACATTTTTCTGTTTTTCTTTTTAAAATGTAATTGCCCTTGAATGGGAGACCCTGGGAGGAGCCCTAGGCTGACTGAGATGTAGCCTTCGGGCCCTGCGGGAGCCGGCCCACACTGGAGGCGGTAGAGCTAGCAGCCCTGCCCAGGAAGTGCTTCTTTGGCTAGTTCTGGTTGTGTTTGGAGTTTGGCCTTGGGTGAGGCCCAAGCAAGGGGTCTGTGACTATGGCATGGCACGTGGCATGCGGGCAGCGTGCATGCGAGGGTGCAGGCATGCGAGACGACATTGGCAGCAGACAAAAATAAAGAACCCTGGACGAAGCTTAAGAAGAGATAGAGAGAATACATGAACCCGGTCCTCATACTAACCCACAGGTTACAAACTTGGTTGTGCTGTAGATTTGTAGAAAATTTCGTTGTGAAAGAATGGCACTGTTAGGCAGCCGGGGGCTCCCCAGGCTGGCAGGACTCCTCTGTCCGCAGTGAGGCCCAGAGGCGCAGAACAGCGCAGCTTCCAGGTTCCCGGGCACTGACTGTGACTCCCTCCCTGCCCCTGCCCACCTCCCCCCAGCTCTGGGCGCTCAATGGAGGGGACACGGCCCAGGGATGGGCTGCGGCTCCAAGGGCTGGCAGAGGCCCTACTGCTCCGGATGGTCTATGCCTCCTCTTCCCCCGAAGACACCATCAGTCGCATGGCTACTGGCAGGTGGTCCGTCAGGCCAGACAGCTGGGTGATAAAACTGAATTCTTCCACCTCCTGGGGTGAGTGGGAGAGGGAAGGAATAGCCTGGTGAGATCCCAAGGGCATCCTGCAGAAATTGGCCTGGGGATCCCTAAAAGTGAGGCACCAGGCCAGGACCTTCCTGCAGTCAGAGGGATGAGGCCTGGAGGATCTGGGGCCCTAAGGGTCTGAGGGAGTGTCGGGTGTCATTGTAAGAGCGGCCTGGGGCATGGGGTCTCAGGGATTCGATTGTTGAGAGCTGCAGGGCCCGGCCCGCCCTCTCCTGGCCCAGCCTGGGCCCGCCTGACTCACGGCCTTCCAGTCTGGGCACAGCCCCTCCTCGGCATGCAGCATGTAGTCGATGCGCCGGCCATTGCCCTTCAGCAGCTCCTTCCGCCCCTTCTGGCCCGAGCTCTTGCTGGTGGGAAACGCCAGGTACTCCCTGCGGCCCTCCTCACTTTCCAGGACCCTGTCCACACACGCAGGAGGCAGGTGAGTCTCCATGCCCGTCCCTGGGCCTGGCAGGGGCTGTTTATGGAGCCATGGTCTCATCCCAGGGTGGGAGCAGGTGGGCCCAACCAAAGTTCTGTGTTTAAGATCTGTCTCTCCTGCGGGTCCAAAAAGGGCCTTGGCTGGGGGCAGGCCGAGTCAGCCTGCAGTTTCTGGCTGAAACAGGGCTCTGGAGCCCGTCGGGGTGTTCCGTCCACCCCATCCTGGCCAATACTCACTTTCCCTTTCTGAACTTGGACAGAACTGACTCCACTCATTCCCTAGAATGGGCTTCTGCCCTGAGCCAAGAGTGGGCCTATTTTGGTCTATGCCATGAGTCTTGAGCACCCCTGTGACTGTTGTTCCTGGGTTGACAGGGCTGAGGGAGCCAGGAGAGCACCTCCAAGGACGCTCATGTGGGGCTGTCCCTACGTGGCTACGTGACTCACTTATGTCACCGAGCCTCCAACCCTGTTTCCTCCTCTGAAATGAGAACGGTTGCTGAGGGCCTCAACACTCTTCAGGGCACAGGCTGTCATCCTGCTTCTGAGAGGAAACTCATGATGGTGCTAGAGGGTCCACAGGGAGGGCAGGGCACAGGAGCAGGAGCCTGTGACATCAAATCCCTTTCTGGCATCATTGCCCTGAGACAAGCAGTGTGCCTGTCTCCTTCCTGCCATCCTGTCACCTGGGGCCTCAGCACCTCTGGGCCAGAGTCTTAGGACCCCTTCCTGCGAGCCCCCATCGCAGAGGGTCAGCTTGGGCCAGCGTCTGAGACGGGAAGTGCAGCAGGACAGAGAGACCCCGAACAGGCTGCCAGGTCAGTGAATGCCTGCACGGGTGGCAAAGGGGCACCTGGAGAGGCAGGGCCTGCAAACATGGGCTTCCACAAGGTTTTCATCAGCTTTAAGATAAATACATTAATGATATTCAGAACATGGTTACAGCCCAGAAATGGAATCCATCACTGTCCTTTGCCTTTGATAATTAATTCCAGCATTAATGATCTGAGAGTTACTGGTAGTCATTTTTTAATCATCCTCTCATAAAAAAATTTTCTCGGCATAGGATGATGTTTCACATTTAGTCTATAATCTAATTAATTGGCTCAAATTAGCTGCAAGGAACTATCGCCGTGACTGCAGTCTTAGGCTGTGAATTATAAATTGGTTCTGATGTTGGCCTCTCACATGCATTCTTTATGGGTATCTCACTGGGCTCAAGAACGAATTTTGGCTGGGATGGAACTGTCTCTACTTTGAAAATGGTTAGCTGTGTTATTGCCGCTGGTGTCTGTATTTGCCTGATGGGTGCTGCAAGCTGCCAGGCTCCCTTCAGCAGGTGCCATACACCCAGTGGCTCTTCCACAGGGGTTGGCCCTTGGCAGGGCCCTGGGAAATTC